GTGTTCACATCTGCAAAGACCATTTTGCCATATAAGGTTCTGGGGATTAACACAGATGTTCACAGTGGTTTGAGATATTTAAGCATGATTGGAAAGAGTTGGCTTAGAATCAATGCCTAAGAAATTAGTATACAATGTAAAAATTTGGGTGACAGAAAAAGTGAGTGCAAATTCAGTTGTTGTATGTAATAAATATTGTGCCAATGCTAGGGCTTAGACTATGTAAGTTGTAAATAAAGAAGAAATGAGATAAAATGCCATGTCAATATCCTGTGGTTACATGAGTGTGTTCACTGTGTGGTAATTCATTGAACTGTACACTTTTGTTCACTTTTGATATGCACAAGAATGCTATGACAGTATCTTTTTGTAAGGATGATATTCCATATCTCCTGTCATCTAGTTAATTTTGAGGAGGTAGGAGGTGACAAGCAATGGCTGCTGACAAGGGGATCAAGAGAGCTTCAACCAACACACACACCGCACACAGAATAAAACCAAACACTTCTTATAGAGAATTACCTTTCTAAATGCTTGAACCTTGATCATTACTAGTGCATTGATAGTAGTTAATACATACAACTAATGCATGTAACTACTAGCAACTAGAAGAAGAGTAAAATGACATGAAAACACCCAACTATAAATCTGGTGTGTGACCTCATAGGCCTTTAAAGAGACTCTCTTACCCTTTTAGATATGGTAGAAACAAATCTATCCCATATCTGTTTCCAAAACTAAGTGTATTAGGAAAATAATTGAGTAGCTGACATCTAAATTAACAAAGTCTGGATCTTCTTTTTGATGTTCAAGTCCATCTCCTTCTAAACTGTTCAGCGTAGTAATGGGGCAATGAGTAACACTAACCACAATTTACCAAATTTAGTTAGAGAACTTCAGGTTTTCTTTCTGAAGACAGACCTCTTATCATTCTTATCTCTCTAGTTGGGAAAGTTTTCTTTCTCTATCCCAACGGTTAAAAACTAGAGATAAAGTGTTCATAATTGTTTAGCATTTGTATGAGGTATTTATCATATTAAAAGGCATTGAAACAAAAACAGGTTGGGGGAATTATTGAAATACAGATATCATAACTTACGAGCAGAGCTTATAGACAGCACCATGCCAAGAACTGGGGGCTCTGTAAACCTCAGAAATGAAGAGGCACAGCATAAACATCTATGTGATTTTCTTAGTGATGGTGTTTGGGCTTTACAAATGTGTTCATCGGGATAGATTTATTCTTGGAAGTCTGTTCTCACTTATAATGCATTTTACTTTTTGTTGAAATGTAAATTTTGTTATTACTATTATTATTTTCAGAACTAAATAATGTATGTACATGGTTTAAAATTCAAAAGGTATTAATGTTTGTAAGTGAAAAGTCAGTCTTTCTCCCACCCCTGTTCCCCAGTCAACCAGGCTACCTCAGAGAGAACCAATATTATAATTTTCTTATGTATCCTTCTAGAGATTCTCTATAAATATGCAAACATATCTCAATACATAGATTGATAGATAGATATACACACATACATCCATATATATGCATATTTTAAAGCAAATAAAAGCATGCTAAGCATAATGTTCTTTGTCTAACTTTAAAAAAATTATCTTGGAGATTGTTCCGTATTATCTTTTTTAATGAATGCTTAGTATTCCATAATTAATTTAACCAGTCCTCTATTGATTGGCCTTTTGCTATTATAAATAAGACTACAATAAATGTCTTGATGCATATGATATTTCTCACGATGAGTATATATGTACAATAAATTCCTAGAACTGGAATTGCTGGATTACAGTATATGTGCATTTTGATAGATATGCAAAATTGTTCCCTTTACAGGTTGTACCAAATTTCACTCTGTGAGCAATGTGTGAGAGGGCCTGTACACTCTTCCCAAAGCAGTGAGTTATCACTAATCTCAGTGGTATCTCATTAAAGTTTCAATTTGTATTTCTCTTTTTGAGTGAGGTTAACCTATTCATATATTTAATGTCCGCTTATATTTCCTTTTCTATGAACTATATGTTTCTATATTTTTCCTACCTTAAAATTGCATTGTTCGTCTTCTAACTGATTTTAGGAGTTATAAGACATTTTAACTATGGGCTAAATAGGTTTTATATAGGTTAGAATGAAAACGAAGTGATTATTTATAATATTGTTTCTACATAAAAAATATATCCCAAGCTCCAATTACCCTATCAACCAATTAATAAACTTTTATGCCCATTTGTGAAATGCAAGCTGTCTTTACTCCAATTTTTGCATCTCCTAACTGCTTAGTTTTTACTGATGTGATTATGAACCAGGAAAGCACTAAAAAGAATTCAATGATAAAACTCACAATAAAAGAATCCAGGAATTGATAGGATATAAATTACCATACAGAAATCAATGGCCTTTAGTCCACAAATAATAACCAGTTAAAAGATATAATGGTAGAGAAAGCCCCATTTCAATAGAAACAGAGAAAATAAAACAGGAATAAATTTAATAACAAAAGTACAAAACCTATATGAGGAAAACTTTAAGACATTCCTAAAAGACATAAATGTCTACCTGAATAAGTGGACAGGTATACTGTGTTTTTAGAAAGAACAACTTAAAGTCATAAAGATTTCAGTTCTTCCTAACTTAATTTATAAATTTAATGCAACTCCAATAAAATACCAACAAATTAGTTTTCTTATGGAATTAGACATGTTGATACTAAAGTTCATATGAAAAAATAAATATTCAAGAATAGCCAGGAAGATACTAAAAATGAAAAGCTGTAAGAAGTCACTAGTCCTACTATACATTAAAACACACTGTAAAGTCTCTATAACTAAAACAGTGTGGTACTGGTGCAAGAATAAACAGACCAATGGAATGGAACAGAAAGCCTAGAAACAGATCCAAGTATGTATGGAAATTAGGCATATAATAAAGGTAGCATCTCAAATCACTGGGGCAGAGATGGACTTCTTTTTGAATAGTGCTGAGACAACTGAGTAACCATTTAGAAAAAGACACAGTTAGATCCATATCCTGGGTCAAACATAAAAATAAATGCCAAACAGGTCAAGGATCTAAATATAAAAATGGAAGCCAAACAAGTACTAGAAGAAAACATGGGTAAATTTCTCTTTAACTTCGGTGTAAGGAAAGTCTAACTATGACTCAAAATACAGATGCAATAAAAGAAAATATTGATACATTTGACTACATTAAAAAAACTTTTGTATGTCAAAAAACACCATAACGAAATGTTTGATAACTGACAAACCATGAGAAATATTTGTGATGTATATCACAGTTAGAGAGCTAATATCTCTAATATATAAGGAAGTCTTAAAATTGAGGAAGAAAGACCAAAAACTCAATAGAAAAGTGGGAAAAAAAACACAGACAATTCACAAAAAATATGTAAAAATGGTCCTTCAACACATGAAAGGATGTTTAACCTTACTCATAATGAGAGAAAAAAACAAAAAACAAAACAAACAAAAAAAACCAACCAACCAAACAAAAAACTATATTGAAATACCATTTCTCATATTAGACTGGGAAAAATTTTAAAGTACAGAACTGCAAACCTGTTGCCATCGAGTCATAGTGACCCTATAGGACAGAGTAGAACTGCCCCTTAGGGTTTCCAAGGAGCAGCTGGTGGATTCGAACTGCCAACCTTTTGGTTAGCAGCTGAACTCTTAACCACTGCACCACCAGGGCTCCAAAGTACAGCACAGGTACTGTCATAAATAGCTAGTGATTATAAAAATAGGTACGATCCATACAAATATGGAAAGGGGGAAGGATATAGAATTGAAGGTATTCAGTTTGAACTCACGGTTTTTTATATATATAATATGAAATATATATATATATATATATATATATATATACACTCTATATGGATACGTGTTGTTGTTAGGTGCCATTGAGTCAGTTCCAACTTACAGCAACCCTATATACAGCAAAACGAAACACTGCCCAATCCTGTGCCATTCTCACAATCATTGCTATGTTTGAGCCCATTGTTGCAGCCACTGTATCAATCCATCTTGTTGAGGGTTTTCCTCTTTTCCGTTGGCCCTCTACTTTACTAATAATGATGTCCTTCTCCTGGGGCTGGTCCCTCCTGATAACATGTCCAAAGTATGTGAGACAAAGTCTTGCCATCCTTGCTTCTAAGGAGCATTCTGGCTGTACTTCTTCCAAGACAGGTTTGTTCGTTCTTCTGGCAGTCCACAGTATATTCAATATTCTTTGCCAACACCATAATTCAAAGGCACCAATTCCTCTTCGGTCTTCCTTATTCATTGTCCAGCTTTTGCGTGCATCTGAGGCGACTGAAAATACCATGTCTTGGGTCAGGCGAACTTTAGTCCTTAAGTTGATGTCTTTGCTTTTTCTCACTTTAAAGAGATCTTTTGCGCAGATTTGCCCAGTGCAATATGTCATTTGATTTCTTGACTGCTGCTTCCATGGGTGTTGATTGTGGATCCAAGTAAAATGAAATCCTTGACAACTTCAATATTTTCTCCATTTATCATGATGTTGTTTATGGGTCCAGTTGTGAGAATTTTTGTTTTCTTTATGTTGAGGTGTAATCCATACTGAAGTCTGTATGGAAAATGATGAATATATCCATATATATATATACACAGATACACACAGACCATGAGAGTCAGAGTCTCTGGATGGTGCAAATGGTTAAGCGTCAACTACTAGCCCAAAATTTGGCAGTTCAAACCCCACCCAGAGATGCCTTGGAAGACAGGCCTAGCGATCTGCTGCTGAAAGGTGATAGTCCTAAAAACCCTATGGAGCAGTTTTACTCTGCATACATGGGTCACCATGAGTCGAAATCAATTCCACAGCAATTGACAACAACATTTAACAACATATATATCTATATAGATATAGTATATGGGTATATATATATATATATTTATGTATATGTGTATGTATATACATAAATGTAGTACTTATCTTTTTCTGACGAGAGATCCTAGAAGCAATGACACCACAATAGCAATGAGCGCACCTAAAGCATAGATTTTGGTTTCTAAATGCTATTCTCTGCTAAATGGAATGAAGGTACCTTGGGAAAGTGGCTGATTCCAGGGCGGGGGCAGAGAAAGTACAAAATGGGCCTAGAATATCTAGTACCAAAAAATACGAAAGTGCTCAAGGATTGAAGGTGACATGCCAAAGGAATACAGAGCCAGCTTGAAAGGGCTCCCATTAGCAGAATCAGAAAATTTGAGCATTGAAAGAATTCTAGTAAAGGATTATAACTTATTAATTAAAACAAGAATCTACAATTTTTTAGTGAAGTAAATAAATAAATGAAGAAAAAGGAAAGTTCTTCCTTACAGTAGTAAACAAACTAATAAGTAGAGAAGGAACGGTGGAACTAGAAGATCGCCATTTGGCATCCATCATAATAATAACTGACTGAGGCAAGAATCATCATCAATGGATGTTAAAATTAATAAGCAAATGTCTGAGGATTAACAGGATATTTACATACTCTCAAAGTATCTCCCCACAAAATACTTATAAATTACAAGAAGGGGAACAGTAACTTTACAGTGGAAAAACAGACACCTTAACAAAGTGATCAAAAATTAGAGCAAATCAGTATCATGTGCCTCAGTATAAGCATTTAGAAGGATACATCACTTTTGTGATATACCTGCACAATCCCACAATCTAATCATGAGGAAACATCAGACAAACTGCAATTGTGAGACATTTTATAAAATTACTAGCCTGTACTCTTCAGAAATATCCATGTCATGAAAGATAAAGAAAGGCTGAAAAACAGTTCCAGATTAAAAAAGACTAAGAAAACATGACAACTGAAGGCAACACATGATCTGGTATGTTCTTTTACCATAAAGGACAGTATTTTGGAATAATTGGTAAAGTGTGAATAAATTCTCTAGATTAGATACTCAATTTCCAAATGACGCAGACATTGTAGAACTACTACTATTAAAATGTTTGGGCCCAACTATTTAACAAATTGAACCATAATTCTTTTGGCCTAGTGGTATTATGCAAAAATTAGCAAGACACTTAGGGTTCAATGTCTGATAGCTATCACTGCTTTTGCCTTGAAAATTTAAAGTATCCCACAATGAATGTCTCTGAGAGTTGGCTTTGTCTCTCCAGCGTGCAGAGTTTGGAATGAAATTAATAGTATCGTATCAATGTCAATGTTGTGATTTTGATGACTATACTGTGGTTATACAAAAGAAAAAGTGATGGTTTTATTAAATGACTTCTTGTGTTTTGGCCAGTGTTTTATGAAGGGGGAATAAGTATTTCATGTCATTATTCAGTAAGTATTTACTGAACACTTGCAATGTGCCAGAAAGCTGCTAGGCCCTGGGGATTCCATGGTGGATTAGATAAAGAAGTACCTTCTCCTATGATCCTTAAAGCATAGTCCTAGTTTCATGTTTATCTATCTATACACATACACACGTATATGTAAAATTTTTAATCTGGATCTGGTTCATCTACTCTCAACCTTGGCTGCATGTTAAAATCACCTTGGAAGCTTTTTTAAAAGTACAGATGCCTGGCCCCAGCCCCCAGAGATTCTGATTTAATTGGTCGGATGTGGGCTGGACTTCTGTATTTTTTTAAAAAAACTCCCCTGTAATTTTAATGTGCTGTTAAGGTTGAGAACCACTCATACAGCCCACTTCCAGAATGTGTTGGGATTACCAAAAATCTCTAAAGATATAGCACCAGTCAAGTTTGATTTCTATTCAGTTTTGGAGGATATGTGCCTTCACCATATAGGTGATGCTCAGAATCTGTAAGTTTCATAAATCAGTGTCTTTTTTACATTCCATATTGTTCAATGGCAGCAGAAATGGGCAGATATTTAACTCTATATTCTTTTACATCTTTTTTGGGAGTGAAATATTCTGATTCATATATATATAGTTGGAAACCCTGATGGCATAGTGGTTAAGACCTAAGCTGCTAACCAAAAGGTAGGCAGTTTGAATCCACTAGGCAAAGGGTTATTGAAATAAATGTGCAAATGGAAGCAAAACTGTTTATTCCATGGTGGTGGTGGTGGTGATTGTCCTTCCACTGGACAGAATTCTTTAATTTGCATGTCAATAAACAAGAATTACTTTCTATTGCTATCAGTTATCTACAATTTACAGAGTTGTAAAAGATTCCTTGGAAATCAGACTCAACCTTGAATGCTGTTTAGGCAATGCAAAAATTTTTCCCTATACTTGTTAAGATATAGAGTAGGCAGGAATAGTCTTGGATAACAACTGGAATATACCAGTCATAGGTTAGCTTTCCAATTCAAAGAGCACGAGACTAAGGAAATTTTTTCTTCTACCCATCTTTCAGGCAAATTAGATACTTCTTTGGTTCACAGCACTAAATTGGCTCATACCTGGAGAAGCTAAAGAGCTCACTCAATGGCCACCAAAACCAAAACTATTCCCTTTGCCGTCCAGTGATTCCAACCCGTGGCGATCCCATGTGTTACAGAGTAGAACTGAGATCCATAGGATTTTGTGGGATGTAATCTTTACAGAAGCAAATAAATCACCAGATCTTTCTTCTGGGTCACAGCTGGGTGGGTTCAAACCGCCAACCTTTTCGGTAATAGTCGAGCACAAACTATTTTTTGCCACCATTGGGCAGAAACAACCCCCAGGGCAGCCTGGAAGTAAACCTACACTTTCAAAAGGGCACCCCGCAGTTGAATTGTGTATTTGGCCCTGTTTGATAGTGGGGAGGGAGTGGCCGCATGGACGGACACCATTCACAAATGAATCTGAACCAAGAGCCATACTTCTGCCTGTTCCCCTTCCTTGTATTTGTCCTAGGCTGGGCTCTTTTGCTAGAAATGATTCTTCCTTTAAAAAGTCACAGCCCAGAATCTGGAGTCAGAACTGGGTTTGTGTTAGGCTCAACCATTTACAAGCTTGTTTCTTCTGAAAAATGGGTTTAAGGATAATGCTTAACTGCCTAGGTTATTGCGAAATTAAAAAAGATAAGCTGTGTGAAAACACTTTGTAAATCGTAAAAAGTTATTAGAAACTGCTCGTCTTCCAGGATGCCAGGGTGCAAAGTTCACCGCTGGGAAAGACATCGGGCCTGGGCCCGTTTCAAACGTCTACCGAGCTTCCACGGTTCCTCTCCGCCGGCTCCGCCCCCTCTACACAGTCCCGGAGCCGGGTCAGAGCCGGCAGGGGCTCCGGCGCACGGCCGCTCCGGCCCGTTTTCGCGGCCTGAGGGGGTGGAAGTCCCGCTGCAGGGCGGGGCAACCCTCGGTCGTTCAGTTCCTGATTTTGTAAGTGGTGCCGGGGGCTGGCGGCGCCACAGCAGCAGAAGCTGTGGAGAGCGAAGGATGGGCCCACGCCGCGCGGCAAGGCCGCTCCTCCCCGCCGTCCTGCGGCCGCCACTGCTGCTGCTTCTGCTGCCGCCGCTGTCATGCTCGGGCGCCGGGGTCGGCCGGCCGCCCCACCTCGTCTTTTTGCTGGCGGACGACCTGGGCTGGAACGACGTGGGCTTCCACGGCTCGAGCATCCTCACGCCGCACCTGGACGCCCTGGCAGCCGGCGGGGTGCTGCTGGACAACTACTACATACAGCCGCTGTGCACGCCATCGCGGAGCCAGCTGCTCACCGGCCGCTACCAGGTATGCAGCGTCCGGGCTGGCCCGCCGGCGCCGGCTCCGCCTCCGCCCGCGGCGCTTCTCCTCCTCCCGAGGGCACCCCTACTGGTCCAGTCGCGTCCCATCCCGTGAGGCCTCTTGGAAGTGGCCCCGGAGGCTCCAGCAAACTGGAGTCCTTGGAGGCAGCTTCTCGTCCAGGCTGTGGCTTCTTCTCCCCTCCCCGGTCCGTAGCCCGCCGGGGCTCTGCGCATGCCCGGCTCCTCTTCGGGTTTAGAGAGGGCGGCCTGTGCACAGTTCCTTTCCCGACTTCCGTGTTCCAAGGTCGAGTGAAGGAGTTTCTGAAGCATGCTAGGGGCTGGGCCCTGCGAGCGGCTGAGAACGGACTCCACGGAGCGTGTTGAAGTGACAGGATGGTGAGGGAGCGCGCCAGGCGCCCAGAGGTGGAGCGAGAGGCGGAGAGCTCTAGGAAAGCAAACGGGAGACTTAAAATGAAAGAATACCCTCTGTGGATTCGACTCTGACCTCCTGTGAACTCAGCGGTCGTAGGATAGGAGTGTCTGACCAAAGATCAAAGTAGTTTTTCCAGGTTCTCAGCACCGCTCGAATGAAACCTATCCTGGTTGATTTTTCTCGGGTTGCTGATGTTCCTTTCACATTTAATCTTACATTAAACTCCTCTGAGCATCTCCATTCTCTCTTCAAAAGCTTCTTTTTAAAACTTCTCTGTAGTTAATCGAAGTATATTTATTTATTGTATGCCAGCGAGTTGATTCTACAGAACAGAGTAGAATGCCCAATAGGGTTTCCAAGTCTGTAATCTTTGTGGAAGCAGACTACCACATCTTTTTTTCTGCGGGGAGCTGGTGGGTACCAACCGCTCAACTTTCGGTTAGCAGCCCAGCTCTTAACCCCTGTGGCACCAGGGCGCCTAGTATATACACGTTGTTGTTAGGTGCCGTCGAGTGGGTTCCAACTCCTAGCGACCCTATGTACAATAGAACGAAGCACTGACCCCTCTTGCGCCATCCTCACAATTGTTATGCTTGAGCCCATTGTTGCAGCCGCTAGTATATACATAAAACTTAAAAAAAAAAAAAAAAAAAGCCATTGCCCTGGAGTCTATTCCGACTCATAGTGACCCTCTAGGACAGTGCAGAGCAGCCCCATAGAATTTCCAAGGAGTGGCTGGTGGATTCAAACTGTTGACCTTTTGGTTAGCAGCCGAGCTCTTAAGCACTGTGCCACCAGGGCTCCAGTATATACATAGGAACCAAAAAACAAACCAATCTTTTGGGGTAGAGTGGATTTGGACTCATGGCAACCCTGTGTGTTACAGAGTAGAACTAAGCTCCATAGGGTGTTCTTGGCTGTAATCTTTACAGAAGCAGATTGCCACGTCTTTCTTCCTGGGCACCTCTGGGTGGGTTTGAACCACCAATCTTTTGGTTAGTTAAAAAAAAAAAGCAAACCAAACTTCTTGCTGTAGAGTTGATTCTGACTCATAGCAACCCTATAGGACAGAGTAGAACTGCCCCATAGGGTTTCCAAGAAGCAGCTGGTGGATTCGAACTGCCCACCTTTTGGTTAGCAGCCTGAGCTCTTAACCACTGTGCCACCAGGGCTCCTTTTGGTTAGGAGATGAGGGCCAACTGCAACACCCAGAGACCTTATATGTAGAGAGTGTATATATGTTAGAGTACTAATAATATTAAGAACATTTGCATAGTGCTTTTTTGTTTTTAAAGTTAATTCTTTAAACAGCCCATGAGGTAGCTGTTACTCTTTAACTCCCCATTTACAGTTGAGAAAATAAGGCTGAGACAATGACACATTATGAATCACACTGCTAGAAAGTGGTAAATCGGGGTCCTGTGCCTTTCCTGCATCCAGGGGTCGTCTCAGGCCTATCAAATTGGACTTTCCCCCCCTTAATCTGAATAAGATTTAAGTTTTTATAAGATCATGTTGTGAATGACCATATAGATAGAATAAATGAGCACTGTTTGAGAACACATGCATACCTACATAAATATACAGTGCTTATTCAGATCAACCCTAGTCTATCTACATCAGTGAGAGAATATGGGAGTTTACTCATGTTGTCTTGAGATCAAGAGAAGGGAGTGTTCACCTGTGATAAAAGAGTTGCAAAGTGGCCTGAAGACTTTTATAGAGAGAAAAGATAGTATTTTATAAGGGACTGAGAAGTAGAATTAGACAGGGTTTGAGTGGGGACGAAAGAGTGGTTCCTTTCACCATCAACCCTAAGCACTTTCTGCAGTTCTGGCCTTGGCTCCCAAGTCTCATCAAGAAATCCTGCACTAATGCAAATCTCACTCTAGATACTTTGGAAGAATAAAGGGGAATGAGGGAAAGAACAAAAGAAGAAAACAGAGTACAGACACAGACAAGGTCTTCCCCAAAGGTTCTGCATTTGCTCTTAAGTAAGAAAACTGAATTAAAATTGCACAAGAATGGGTGGGTCATTCATTCCTCTGACTTCTTCCCTGCTCCCAACAGTACACTTGAGCAGGAAAGCAAATACCACTTTCAAAAACCGTTTTATGTAATGACTGCTTCTGTCATCTGCCCACAGCAATCACCAACGTTTAATCTTGGAGAAAAAAACTTGAGTGTTTAGAGTACCCTGTGGTCAGGACATGAAGGAAGGTAGAAACTAGGCACTCTCAGGTGGATTTAGAGACTGTTAGATCCAACAGTCTCTAAAGCAGGGCTGGCTGACCCTAACATTTTACTTGACTTTTCCCCCTACTTTATTCTGTTACAATTCATGGGATCCAATTAAAAATTATCTTGAGTTAGAAAGCACCCCTTTTTTTTTTTTTTGGTCTTTTTGGTTTTTTATTTTTTATTGTACTTCAGGTGAAGGCTTA